TTTCCATTTGACTCATTCCTTCAATGATAGGCACTTCAAACTGATAAGAGGCTAAGAATGCCTCTTTTTTATAACACTCAGCTACATAGTCTTCCACCTTTTACTTGGTGGCATTAATAACTATAACAGCATGCTTGCACGGAATTCCTGTGAGATCCCAAGATCTGCAAGTACATTTTCTGTTCTCCAAGTCAACCACAAAACCATTTGTTCCATCTTCCACAAGTTCATATTTATTTCCACTGGGCCAAATTAATCTGCACCTCTTGCTTCCATGGACATTAGCTACAATATTTTCCCATATTTTAGGACCGAAATCATCAACAAATCCTCTTTGTGCAACAATCCTTTTTCCACAAAATATCGTCAAATCTTGATTCATTGAAATTATGGCCTTCTGTCTTGCATCCACCAATAAACCATTGAAGACTTCACACATATTATTGTCAACAATATCACACTTTATATCTATTTTAAAGAAAGCCTTGCACCAGTATTTTGGATCTGAATCTAATAAATCATTCCTTGTTGAAGCTTTTAATTTGGTTAACTCTTCCAAAGCTTTGTTGAATTCAACAATGGTGTTTAATTCCACACACTTCCAAAAAGCAATTTGCAATGCTTTGCCTTTGTTTTTCTTCCTGAAATTGTAGTATTTATGCCTAGCACAAAATCTGTGCTTAGCATAAGGGAAAATCTCCTGAACTGCTTGAATAAGCCCCTTGTTAAATTGGTACAAGTTAGCACAAATAATTAACTTATTTAAATTGGAAAACAAATATATAATTAAAAGCAAAATGACACCTTTTGTTGGTCTGACATAATGCAAAATTTGGTTCCATCTCCCATTAGCAAATCCTTTTGTAATTCTTCAAAAAACCATAACCATGTTTTTGTTTTCTCAACCTCAACCACTGCCCATGCTATCGGGAACATTTGATTGTTTGCATCTCTTCCCACTACTGTCAACAATTCTCCTTTGTGAGCGCCTTTAAGATAGGCACCATCAACACCAATGATAGCCTACAGCCAGCAAGAAACCCCTTCTTCGAAGCACTACAACATACATACATTCTCATAAAAGTGGGGCTAACATCTGTTGTGGGTCTATGCGTATGGAGAACAATATTTGCTTTTGGATCTTTTGACCTTAGTTCAGTAGCATAGTCGAAAAGCATGGCATATTCAGCCTTGGAAGTGCCTTCAAAAGTCCTTTTCAGCTGTTGCTTCATCTTCTTACATTGCACGAAAGTTATCTCAATATTCTTCTCATTCCAAATGGCTTGAAAAATGCTATCATAATTCACATACAAAGAGTTTGCTCCTCTAGTATTAACTAAATGCTTAGTTGCATGCCGTGAAGTAAACCTCTTGTTCACAACACCTCAATTGCATGTATGCTCTTGTTGGAAAGTCTTTACCATCCAGGAGTTTAATGGGCTGTCCTTTGCCAACAAAATCTTTCATTTGCACCCCTTTTTCTCAACCTCTTTGCATATTGCCCTCAACCTAACCTTGTCATTTTTCACCCATTTAATTTGTCTACCTTTTTTAAAACTCAACTCATCAACAACTTTTTTAAATTGTTCCTTGCTAATAAAAATCATCCCAAGACCTATCATAGGCCAATCTTCATTTTCCTTGAACAACGAATGTATAGCCTTTCTTCTTCTACCATGTTCAGCCTCACCATCATCCTTATCACCTGTTGTAATATAGCTTACATCATCATTAGATTGGATTGCTCCATCATTAATTTCTACTACTGCATCATTATGTCCTATACTAACAAACAAAAGTAAATTAGACACAATAGATATTAAAGGCAATAAATAATACATTACAACAAGAAATAGACAAACCTGCACCAATATCAATATTAGAAGATTCCACTTCCACAATATCTTTTGATTGCTCATTCTCAATTCTCGGTTTTCCTTGAGAAGCTATGAAGTTTCTCAAAATTTTCCTAACTTCAATGGTTTCCTCATCTTCATTGTCAGACAATTCAGGGACATCTTCTATCATACCACTGTCCATAGTGATAATATTGAAGTCTTCAATTCCAACTTCATTGTGGACCCCACTAGCAACTCCACCGTTAAATATTTCATTTTCTTCTTCTTCATCGCTCCAACATCCACCAACCTCACTTACTACATCTACATTCTTTAACCACCCAAAAACCTTTGTAACAAAAAAAAAAAAAATTCAATAATACAATAAAATAAAGATAAAATCAATTTTCAATTAAATAATGCAAAAATTGAAGCATATAGAAACAAATAAGTGGGACCAAATGTTGTCTCCACATTTCCACACAAACCCGACAATTACAGCCCCTATTCCACATTATACTGACATAAAAAAGCCAAACAAAAGTTACATTATTCAAAAGATTCGCATAGTCAAAAGGTGGAACATACCAGATCCTCAATTTCCTCCTATTCTTGATCTCTGATTTCTGGTCTCTCATAGTTCTTTTCTCCACTTTTGGAGGACGAGTCCATGTATACAATCTGATTTGATTGTAAAAAGTCAATAAATCCAATCGAAAATTGCAGAGCTTTTAGGGTTTTGTTCCTCCAAAAGTGAGAAGTTTCCCTTTCTTTTCTTTTGTCAATGTCAGCAATGCAGTTCCCCACTGGTTTATTCAGAAGGTGGGAAAGGCAGGAATGTGATGTGGAATGAAAATAGTGTCATATAATCAATTTGTTTAGCTGTTTTTTTCCACATAGGCTTATAAAAATTAAAAGTGGTAATTGTTGGACACTTAAACGTGCCAGGTATGCAGTCTGTCAATGGAAGGACCATTTGGGTTACAGAAAAATAAAGTTGAAGGATAACTTGGGTGCTTTCTAAAGTTAAAGGACGAACGAAGTTCTAAAATGAAAGTTTAAGGACCAAATTGGGTATTAAACCTTTCATTTTTTTAAAGTTTGTTGGTTAATTAAATTATTTTTGATAAAATGGTGTGAAGTCGACATAATTTTTTCTTCATTTTTTGTAATACCCCAAAATTTCTTGAGTATTAGAGTGTGAGTTAGGGACCCAATTGTGAAGAAATATTATTAATGAATTTAATAACAAAAATTTTCAAAGTTCAGGGACTTAAAAGAAAGAAAATTAGGATAAGGATCAACTGATATTTTTATTTCCTTTTCTTCCCAGCCATAAACGTTTCTGCTCTGCTCTTCTTCTTCCCCGACAGGCTGCCCAAGCCACCGATGCTCCCTCTTGAGGAATCGGTAAAAGGGCTTGATGATTTACCTTCTTTTCTTGTTAAAGAGCAAAATTAGGACTTAGAACTCTCCCTTTTGAAGTAGAATTTCCAGATCTGCTCTGTTTTCCTCTCCCTCTGTCCGTCCGCAAGCTGCAGCTTGTGCGAATTTCTGGGCATTTTTCGGTAAGAAGCAGCTTCAAGTTCATCTCTTTAGCTTTAATTTGGCGTGGGTCACTCTGATCCCTTTTTTTTCTTGCAATTTTGTGGTAGTTTTCATGATTTCTTCTCCAGTCTCCGTTGGCCTCCATACCTGCCAGCTCCGGTTTTGGCTACTGGGAATATTCTGGTATGTTGATGGCATCCTTAAGTCCAAAAATGGTTAATTAGTTGCTGTTTTGGCTGGATTTTGTCCATGTAGTGGTTGCTCTGTGTTGTTCGAAACCCTGCCGGAAAATGGGAGAATTCCGGTAGCATTAAGCATGAGTTTTTCTAGCTTAATTCATGTAGAGTTTTCTGTGATTGGCTGCTGTTGGATGGCAGTAATTCTGTTATTTAATGTCTGAAAAATCTGTTGTTTTAAGTTTGGATTTTTATCAATTAATTGCGGTTGTACAGGGGAGAATTCCGGCGGCCTTTGAAACGTGTTTGAGTTTAATTCATGTCAAAATTCTTTGATTCGGCTGTTGTGGTGTTCGGTATGCATAGCCAGGTCTTAATCACTGTTTTGCCAAAGCTCTGTTTTTCCATTTCTTGTCCGTGAGATTGAGTATTATAATTTTAATAAAAAAAAATTGGATTTTGGGTAGACATATGGTTTGGAGTACAAGTGAGTTCGGTATTTGGGGCTGAATTTGTGTGAAGCTTATTGAGTAATAATTTGTTATTTTGTGCTGGTATTTCTAGCAAGGTCTAAACATATATAATTGAAATCTTAGGTGCTGTTGTGGCTTAGAGCTCTGGGATTGAGTCTTCGATTTTATGCGAGTGAGGTAAGTAACTTATGGTAATGCCCTGGATTTAAGGTAAAACTTTTAAAAGCAAATTTTGATGGTTTTGAAATGGTGGCGGGACTAAACCCGTTTTACACGAGCATGATTGATTTGAAGTGAAGTTTTTATGCTTTTCATTAAATTGAGCATGCCTACTTGAAATTTAATTGATTGTCCTGATGATCTAAAAGTGATTGGTGAATTATGATTTTTCTGTTAACTTTTGCCTGTTTTGTCTCCGATATGGTCATGTTATTCATGTGCCCACTAGTGGGAGGTTTATAAACGCTAGCACATGTCGACATGTTACTAATAGAACCGGTTCGTTTCTGTTATCCTGCTAGTGGGATTATACACTAGTAAATCGTGTGCCTATCAGTGGGAGGTTTATAACACTGGCCATGGCCTATAGAGGAGATGTCTATTTCATTCTCGTACTGTATCCGTTTTTCTGATTACACTTGTTGGCATGCTATGAGTTTAATTACGGGCTATCCATATGTTACTTACTGAGTTATCTCACCTCATTTTTCCTTGCCTACCATTTCAAGTAATGTGACTCGAGACACGAAAATCAAGGGGAGTGACATGGTAGAAGGCTAGCCACTTGAGATTTGACATAGATTCTAGATATATATATATATATATATATACCATGCTCTTGTAAGTTAGATTTTAATTGGAAATTTTATGGTATCAAAACTGATTTTGTTGAGTAAGTTCCAAGCCTTGTGCACTTGTAATACCCCAAAATTTTGTGATATTTTAGCATTAAGTTAAGGACTAAATTGTGAAAAAAATATTGTTTTGGGGTTTAATAGTAAATATTCTAAAACTTTGAGGGACTTAAAAGAGAAGAATTTTGGATAAGGATCGGCTGGCATTTTTTTTTCTTCTTTCTTCTTCTTCAGCCCGATTCTGCTCTTCTTTTTCCTCCCCTGCACCGAGCAACAAAAAAACCCAGCCAAGCCGACAGCCTTCCCTTGAAAAACCGGTAGGAAGCTTGGATATTTCTCCTTCTTTTCTTGTTCTAGGACTGAAATTGAACCCAGAAATTCCCCCCTCCCTCTGCAGAAAATCCGGATCTGCTCTGCTCTGTCCGTCCAGTTGCTGCTCTTGCTTGTGGGTGCGAATTTCTCTAATTTTTGGGTAAGAAACAGCCATTAAATTCTCTGTTCTTCCTTTATTTGGCTTGGGTTTACCTTAATTTCTCTTGGTTCCTCTCAATTTTTGGTAGCCCCGTGTGTTTCCTCTGCACTTCCCGCTGGCTCCTCCCTAAACTATAGTTCCAGTTTTGCTTGCTGGATTTATGGTTATGTGACAGCCCCCCTGTAAGGTGCCAAGCCTCGGACTGTTACAGTAATTCCTTTATGACCGAAGTGAGGAATAAATCCAAAGCTTCCCGCTCAAATAGCTGCATGACAATGACAATAAGCATGCCCGCACCTGATTCCTTATGATGAGCGGCACAGCAAGTATGGTAGACA